GGGAAGCATGTGATGAGCGTTCCTTACGCACACGTGTGACCCTGGGGTCGAGTGTACCCGGGCATGCGCATAAAAACAAAAAAGAGCATGGCGTGTTGGTTTTGCGGAATTTCTCGTCTATTTCCAATTTTATTCGTTCTAAAGAGCAGTAAGTTTTGCCTTCGTTCTTTGAGCAATCCTTTAGTCAGCCTTATTTTCTTTTTGTAACCTTCGTTTTTACTCGATTTCTGGCTTTTTAAGGATCATTTTGTGCGTTGTGGTTCCTCAGTGACCGTGCACTTGTGCCACAAACTAGTAGTTTTCACTTTATAACACTCGCTTCTATCGTTTTCTTTCGTTTTATTGTTTTAAGTCGGCTTGTATTTCTGTTAGTTTATACATTTTTGTATCTTTCTCTTAGTGTCCTTTAGGCGTCCAGCCGCCAGGGTAAGCGTATTTTGTTATTTTGTCGCTCGATTTATTTAGGTTCATTAGGATCCTACTTCGATTTAATTTGAATTTGTGTTCAGTCTTCATGATTTCACAAGGCTTTGCGTTGCAAGATTTGTTTAGTCTGTTAACGGCTTCAGTGTAACCTCTTTGTCTCCTGTTTCCTGGTCTAGCAGGGCATGTGTTTTGATGCAAAACCTTGTATTTATTTTCTATTTTCATAATTTGTAAAAGGTTCTGATTCTGTAATAAAAGGTGAGCAAAACTCCGTATCACAAACGTTATGATTTATACATCGGAAATGCGCAGTTACATCACGGAATTCATCCTGAAACTTGCTCTCAGTGTTTGGAAGGCGACTGAGGTTGCGCTTCGACCGAGTCTTTCTATTGTTCCTGAGAAAGAGGAAATGTAGTGTGATGTGCCTTAAGAAGGGAAATTACCCTTTTGAATTAAGACCATTCATCCCAGCGATATTACACAATTTGCGCCGGATACTCTGAACAAGATATGACCTTGAGAACAAACCGACAGAAATTCAAAGAAAAATTATTTTAAAACCTGTCAATCTTATCACAGGTTTAAAAATGAGCCATTTACAAAGCAAAAATTTATTTGAAAAGTAAAACCCAAACGTTTTCGACACTAGGTCATCTTCGGGGTAAATAAACACCGTCCGCCAAATTTGTTTCTGATGTTTTGAACGCCAAA